GACCAGAATGACGTCATCAGAACCACAAGCAGGGGTATGCACGCGGGTCGACTATTAGTACTGTGCATGTATGAGTGAGGTGCGGAAACTTGTCAGAAAGCCTTCTAGTGCAGTCGTGTTGTTACAGGTGGTTAATGTATTCGCCGTGTATTGACTTCGCCTCGTGGGATTACGGAGATGTGACCGATAACGCGCAAGATCGTACGGCCGGTTTGTTAGAATTGTGCGAGGCCCGACCCAAAGAATACTCGTGTGACTTGACATGCTTAAATAAAGAAATAGATGCACATTTATCTAGCTAAACATGCATATCAACCCGGCAAAGAGATGGTTAAATGTATATCTATCAGATGTATAGACAAATATGTCTTTTTTTCTTCTGTTCTTCATGAAAATCATTGGGTCGGGCCTGGCACATTTTTAACAAACCGGCTGATAGTCAACAGCTTCGTGAGATGATTTACTCTCCCCCACAAGCTCGACATTGTTTAATTGAATGGCGCTGAGAAGTTTCAGAGGGGCGGATATCCTCATGGAGACCGTATCAACACGCACGCGGCTCAAGTGACGCAACGGCTCAGTGTAAGAATGTTCGCACTTGCCCATGAATCAATTGCAAGCATGTACAAGTGAATCAATCTCTCTCTCTCTCTCTCCCTCCCTCCCTCCCTCTCCCTCTCCCCCCCCCCCTCCATTTATATATAATTTCTAAAACTAGGAAATGGCTTTGTTTCAGGAGCAAATTGCATTAGGAATGGTGTCCAGGGATACGCCTTAGCCATGCCCAAGCTGCATGTAGGGAGATCCTTGGCAGTGAGCTGGAAGGTATAAGGGCAGCTGGCACGTGGAAGACTGAGCGAGTCATCACGTCGAAGCAGGCTGTCAATATCAGTGTCCAGGGCCAGAGTGGACAAGTTCTCATTTTCTGTGCCAATAATTATCTGGGCTTGTCAGTAAGTTCCTTTTGTTTTGTTTTATCTCTTCTTCTTTTATGGATATATCGGTAAAAAAAAGATAGGGTTCGTATGTATCCTCCTCTTTTGGTATGTTTTTTCTTTTATTTGCGTAATTACAGGTACGTAACACCGATTTTAATGTTCGTGGGAAAATAAACAACTGGTTATTTGGTTTTCATAAAAAGAATGTTTCATTCCATTTCAGAGTCATCCGGAGGTAGTCCAAGCTGGAAAAGAAGCTCTGGATAAATATGGCGCAGGACTATCATCTGTCCGTTTTATTTGTGGCACACAAGACATACATATGGTAAGTAGGTGGTTGGGTTGCCTGACTAAACACTAAATATAACCAAGTGATATATTGTGGATATTTGGTAAGATGTGTTATTATTTTCTTTAATAGTCTGTGATTATGGCTAACCGTGACTCTTTTCAATACGCAGTTGTTGTTTTGTGATGGGTATTGTGTAATTTCAGGAACTGGAGGAAAAGATTGCAAAATTTCACGGTCGTGATGATGCTATATTGTATGCCTCATGCTTTGATGCAAATGCAGGGCTCTTTGAAATCCTTCTTACTCCTCAAGATGCAGTGCTGTCTGATGAATTAAACCATGCATCCATCATTGATGGTATCAGGTTGTGCAAGGCTCAGAAGCACAGATACAGACACAAGGATATGGAAGGTTAGGTTTCCCTTTTTCTTCATTTTGCTAGTTTTTTTCTGTATTATGTGGAAAGCTTTAATTGCTGACTGTAAGTAAACATTTCAATACATTCACATTTAAATTTGTTTCAACTCATTGTAATATTAATTCTGCCCTTAGATCTTGAGGCCAAGTTGCAGGACTGTAAAAATGCTCGCATGAAATTAATTGTAACTGATGGAGTGTTCAGTATGGATGGAAATGTTGCCCACTACCAGCCATATGTGAACTAGCAGACCGATACAATGCCATGGTCTTCATTGATGAATGCCATGCCACTGGATTTTTTTGGAGCAACTGGAAGGTATGATATAGAATATGTGTATGTGAAAATTAAGTATCCTCTTGCCCTGTCATAAATTAGTCAGTTGTACTTCAGAAACAATTATGTTGAAAATAAGGTTTCTTTAACAATAGGTAATATGAGTGTTTAGTAGTACTTCATTTTGAAGGACTATTTAAATTATCTTTATTTCATGCTAATACACAACTATTCACACAGCAGATAATTTATTTATATTGCTATGTATCACCAAAAGAGGTATCTTGTTTTTTAGGGGAACAGAAGAAACACTTTGGATTGCCTCCTGGTCGTGTTGACATCATCAACAGCACCCTTGGGAAAGCCTTGGGAGGAGCTGCTGGTGGATATACAACAGGTCCGAAGGAACTTGTTACTCTTCTTAGGCAGCGTGCAAGACCTTACCTGTTCTCAAACTCAATACCTCCTCCAGTTGTAGTTGTGCAAATTCAAAAAGTATAATTCAAAATACATAAATGAGTTATGTAAAATATCACTATGGTTGGAGTTTGGAGAAACTTTATATTTGCACAATATATTCAACTTTATTATCAATAATTTTCTTTCTTTATAGGTATTTGACCTTCTTTTAGGGAGTGCAGGATTTGCAGAGAAAGTCCAAGCTAATACCGATAGATTCCGATCACAGATGACAGAGGCTGGTTTACTATTGCTGGGAGAATCACCCCATCTGTCCGTCATGCTAGGAGATGCTCGGTTGGCTTCACAGTTTGCTGATGCAATGCTCGGTAAGTTTTTCATTTTTATGAACTGCTGCGATATTGTCCATTATTTGATATTTGTATCATGTGTATCATTTGCAGAATAAATTTCAGGAAGGAGTATTTAATACTTTTTTTCTTTCTTTTTAGCTAAAGGCATATATGTGATTGGCTTCAGTTATCCAGTAGTGCCAAAAGGCAAAGCAAGAATCAGAGTGCAGATTTCAGCATCCCATTCATTTGAAGAGGTGGATTATACAGTTGAAGCATTCAAACAAATTGGCAAGGAATTAGGTGTTATTAGCTGAATATGTCTGTTCTTTGGTATTACTCTTATCAAAAGGGGTTAGCAACTTTTGTTAGATTATCTAAATAAAATGTTCATTGTTATATGCCTTTCAATTATTGAACATGACAATAATACAAAGTATCAGTGGGCCTTGCCTGCACTACAATCTCTGCTTACATCATCTTACAGACATGTAAATGATCGTCTGCAGCAGGTAAACCACTCACTCGTCTTTAATTTCACTGCCTTTCGTCATTTGCTTTAAAATAACAAGGAAAAAAGTTTTAAAACTAATGTTTAATTTTCACAAAATTGAAGTGAAATTACACCATTTAAAATGGATTAACTAAATTCCTGAAGAGCATGTGAATTAAAATCTTGAGTACTATGAAATTAAAATATCAATTTCAGTATCACAAGTTATTAAATTAAATAGTAAAAATTAGTAGTAGTACAAAAACAAACAGGTGTGCAAAATAAAACCACACTTTCGTTCAGCACTTTTACATGACTTTATTTTCAGATACAGCTTTGATACCTCTACACTAATTGTTTGGATATATCCTAGGCATTTTATGTACAGGTTATAGAGGAATGTCACTAGTGCTTTCTAGACTATTCAAAATTCTCTTATAACTGCACAAAAAGTTAAAATTCTGTATTATAAGGTATGACACCAAGTTTACAAGAAGTATAAATAAGCATTTAACCCTTATGTGATCATAATAAAAGAAAAAAACAATCTAAATAAAATTCTACAAATGACTTTCCCTCCACAAAAATACTCCTATTACCAAAGAGGGACTTTGGCTTTTATATGAGAAGAGAGAGAGGACCAGGTTCCCCTGTCTTGTATGGCTACAAGTGACTTTCTACTCCCTCTGGCTGAAAGGTGATATCTGTAATGTGATCTACGAGTCATATGTCCCCCGCACTTTTGAGGATGCCATTCTCCATGATTTGAACAACAAAAATTTATCTCCACTCCTTCAGTGCAATTTGTAATCACAGAATAACTTTTAAAAAAATGTTTTATTTTACAAGAATCATAAGAGCATATAGGATAGAAATTCAAGTGTACAGTTAGATACATCAAATAGACAATGCTGTTGCCAGCTAAGACTTTAATACATATCTTATTGATTTCTCTTGTGGTTAAAACAGGGATTTCATGATTTATTTACTTATTACATTTAGTTAAGATTTTACTCTGAGGGATCTCTTTAAGCAAAATAAATAATAAATGATGATACACATACCAACTACTAAGCCTCTTAATAGTAATGAGAATAATGACTTTTAAGATGAAAAAATAAAAACTAATAAAATAAAATTCTTTACAAACAATGAATATTGATACAAAACAAACTACAAAACAAAAATAATACCAGTAATAATAATACTGACAGTATTAATTCATAATCATAAACAAAAATAAGAGTATTGTTACAAAAAATATGAAAAACAAATCTATAAAAGAAAACATATAAACATAAATGCAGATTTAATCATCATTTATATGTCATTAAAATAGTGGAATGAGCTCTTAACTGACCAATTCTCAAGGGCCTTCATAAACATTCCTTTTACAATTCACAATGAAATATACTGATCTAAATCTTTTGCACTCAGAAGTCAAGAGAAAATTAGAACCTTTCAAGATATTTAGGCTAACAATGAGAAAAAGAGTCCATTTAAACCTCATATGCACCTGTTTATTTTTAATCATTCTTTCTGTGTGTATCTCATCAACACATTCACTCACTCATTTGTTCTGCTCACTCAGCTAACGCTCCACTCTCCCACTAATTCATTTCTACTTGGAGAACGATCAGGAAGAATAATAACTTTTCTAAATTTAAACAATGGTATTCTCCTTTTGTCATTTTTCCTATGGCTGTTTTCCTTTCTAGTCCTGACCCCTCATTTCTGAACAGTTTCACCCCATGAGAGAAGTAAATGAGGTTCTGCATACATATTCCAGCTATATGCACACTTTTCTCCGCTTTTCTTTCCCTTGCAATCTCTTGTTCACTGCCTGAATCTTTCTCAAAGCCTAGTGTATCCTCTTCTGTATCACCAACCCTGATCAACTCAATATTTAATTTAAGAAACAATTCTCAACTTTGAAAGCAAAAGAAAAAAGAATTTTGTACATTTTGTTTTGCTTACATGTACTTTTTATTTATTTTTTATATATATCTTTATCAATCTGCAAGCATAGTACTTGCCTGATCACAAAATATGACCATGCAGTAATAATACAAATGTTTTTTTTTTTCATTTTCATTTAGGTAAATAATTTTTGTATGACAGGACGGGCACATACAAGACGACTTTGAGTACTATCTAATAATGATACACAGGGCCAAATCCTTAAACAGCCTTATATAGCAGCAATAGAAAAAAGAGAAAAAAGAAGAGAAAATGAAATCAACATCTAAACCAATACTTTAAAAGCAATCTCAATAAAAATATATATCCATGATATCGATTGCTTTCAGTTGTTTAAGAATTCAGGTTTGTCTGAGCATAATCACGCTACAGAGGGGGGATAGCTTCCTAAGATCATTAGCTTATCACAGGTTTCTAGACTTATTTTAAGTTATCCTACAATGACTTCAAACTCTCATAATATTCCAACATAAGTTATCAACATCTTAAAGTATCATGATCTGCATTTTGATCATTCAAGATTGTTGGTGATGTCTCCTTAATATACATAAAATATAATTATATAATACTTACCATCTACTGTGAACATCAATTATTTATGCAAAAGAATCTAATATCCATTATACAATGTCTAGTCTTCATAACATTTATGAGACCAGGGCAAATGCTCTTAAATAGATACAGTAAGACAAAGAAAGCTGACAGAAGAGACAAATCATTCACTTTATCAACACAGTATGTGTGTCAAATCTTGATTACCCTTCTATTATCCATTCATATTAAAGGTTATCTGAATTTCTAAATATCTGATATTATTTAGCTACTGAACTATGGAAATTCAAAGACTCTTAACCTGACTACAGACCAGTAATCACTTTCCAGCCTACTAAATTATGGCATCAAATTCTTTATCATATTCTCAAAATTCAGTACTTTGGATACAGAAGGATAACATAAAACTGAAGATATTGAAACCAAATTTGATTTGACTGGCAAGTGTGATCCTGAAAGGATATTATTATAAAAGTTTCACAAGTCATATTACTAAACTGCAAGTTCTGTAAAAGAAAAGAAGAAAAATTGTGGAATTTGTTAAACTATGTAGAAAAAAGAGTAAGGTAACAAGTATTTGGGACTATCAAGATCACCAATTCCTTGACAAACAAGTTCAGATTGTCGGTAAAGATCCAAGCCAAAGGTTCATTCATACACTACAATGCATGCAATGATGGTCACTAGAAGTATGTATATATCTAGTCTATCTTCCTTCTCCGACCACCTGAAAAGAATTTGTAACAGACAAACAAGGGTAGACAACACATACATTTTACCAAATTTCATCAAATTTATAGAGGTCCCTCAATGAGACTGATCTTCATGGAACAATAGTAGACAGTTCGATAAAAGAGGATTAGGGACACCAGGAAGGCCACTGCAATAAGAGAAAGGAGAGAAGATTAGTAACTTACATTAGTTCACAAATGAAAGCAACAAAATTCATATTTACATGTACTACATTTCAAATGTTATAACAATGTTGTTTTACAATTAAAAAAATAACTCACCAATATATGCAACATAGATGCCAGGATAACTAGCTGTATAACTGAGAGTTGTGACAGTAAGAGCAATTCCTATGCCCAAGAAAACCAGGGCGAAGACTACAAATACAATCCTCGGCATCGTGCAAATTCTGGCCCAACCGATGAACTGCCAAGAAGAGAACATCAAAGTTAAAATTAGTTTTTTTTTAACACATTTCAACACCATAAATATGGCTGACAAATCACTTTCAAGAAGATAATGAATAAAGAAATATCAATATGAGACTTTTACAGTAAATGCATATACTTACACTTTCCTACAATGTGGACATCTAGCAAGGGCATTGTTAAGAGTGTTAAACTGCAAAAGAAAAATAAGAGTTAATTTACGTTTTGAAAAAGTAACAGGACAGTCAAAGGTATGGCTGGATATAGGGAAGAAATTATAAGCAAATGAGAAGATACATTAGGAAAGAAATAAAGTGAGTGAGAGAAGTTGAGAACAAGACAAGGGATTGTAAAAAAACAGACATAAATAAAATAAAAAATAAAGAAAGAAGAGCAAACAAGATATAAGACAGATTAAGCATGAGAAGGAAGAAAGGTGACACAAAAGAAAAAATGAATAACCATTCTCCAAACAAATATATGAAAAATATAGTAATGCCTTGCAGATTAAGCTAAAGAAATCAACAATTATTGTACATGAAATTTACAAATTCTCCTTTTCAGATTACAATGTAACTGTATACCTTCAATCTTACTATAAATGCAATTATGTCCCTAAAAAGCCCATTTCTATGTAAA